TCTATCATCTCTCTGCCAAGAGGAGGGAGGTATGTTTCAATGTGGGCCCCCTGAAGTTTGAATTATTCATCATCTCCCAAGAGGTCCTTTGGTGTTGTGAAAAGAAAACTAGACTCGGAGTCAGGAAGGCCCGAGTTAAATTCCAGCAGGTTCAATTACTAGCTGTGTGACCTTGGTCAAGTCCCTTAACCTTTCTGGGCCTCGGTTTCCTCATCTGTAAAATGAAGGTGTAGGGGGAGGATGTGATAGCTTCTAAGGTCCCTTCTAGTTTTAAACCTGTGATTATGTCTATGGTTAGGAAGGTAGATGGGTGGAGGATTAGAGGAAAGTAATTTTACTTTCCTTTGGTTCTGAGTTTAACAAAATATGAAACAGTAGCATAATTATTACACATATGTAACCTATATCAAGTTGTTTACTGTCTTGGGGGGAGGGGAAGGTGAGGAAGGGTGGGAGAAAATTTGGAACTCAAAATTTAAAAAAATTAATACTAAAAATTGTCTTTACATGTAATTGTGAAAAAATAAAATATTAAAAAAATACACAGTAATATAGCTAGAACTTAAACCAATCAAAATCACCACTCTTCATTCCTTTAGAATTTTCCTGCTCCTTCTAATGTCATACTTCATCTGGAGCTCTTAATTCATGGTAGTGAATTTCATGAGGACGATGTTCAGAAGGATCACCTGACCTCTGGGTACATGTGTTGAAATAGTGCCTGCAAATGAAAACACTGGTTGACCCCAGAACTTTGTTCAAATGTCCCCTTCTATAGGAAGTCTTTGCTAATTCTCTTTCCCCACCCCCAAACTACCATGTGTTTGTTATATATGTACTCATATGGCATGTTATCTCCCATGATAGAATGGAAATTCCTGGTGGATCAAGACTATTTCATGGTTTTGTCTTGCTCTTCCCAATGCCAAGAACAGTACCTGGTACATAGTATGTGCCTCACGAATGTTTGTTGATCAGTTGTTTGGGAATCTTCATCTTTGTTGAATTTGACTTGTGATTGTGTGTGTGTGTGTGTGTGTGTGCGCGCATTCCTAAACATATTTTTCCATTAATTGTTTTCCAATAAGTCATGGTCAATTTTGAGGGCTGAACTTATGAAATATAATATCAAACATAGTAAAAAAAAGGCTAGAGGAGAATAAAGTAAATTGAATCAGAAGATGTTGGGATAGGAAACAAGTAGTATTTACTGGTGGCTTCTTTAGGAAAGCAAAGTTTAAATTTGGCATAGTTGTCATAAAAATTTGGAGCACGTGAGGGTCATTTTGCCTGTGTGCATAGGGGCACATTTGTAATCCTGGATCTCAGTCTGAATGTAGGATGATGGAAAAATAAACCTTGGAGAAGATTAAATAGCGCAACTAAAAGAAATACCATATACAGTAGGTTGAAAGTGATGAGAGCTTCATGGCTGTGATTTATGATGCCTCTGTGGTCCCTATGATGATTTATAAAAGCTTATTTATCTTTTCTATTTGCTCATCTGTGCTCCTTCACATTTGAAGATAACTCTTCCTCAGAATCTTTCACTCTCTAAGGCTAGGAGATGGTAAGAAAGCACAACCAGCTACCCCTCTTCTTTTTTCCTTTTTAAAATTCTTGGTCTGGGAAAAAATTTAAGACTGTAACTTGCTATTAAAAACTACCATGATGATGCTTCTTTGTCATATGATAACCATTTTCTCAAGATTTCAAAACTTTTTTTGAATCTTATCAGCATTGTTTGGTGTAAGGAGTTAGGGGCTGGGGATATAGAGATCTGAGATCCATTCCTCCTATGAACACTAAGTAGTGTTGTGACCTTAGACAAGTGATTTTCCTCATCAGGGTCTCAGTTTCTTCATCTGTGAAATGAAAGGATTGAACTAAATGACTTCTAATGTCCTTTCCAATTATAATTTCTATAGTAAAAGGAGCTGAATAGCTTTACTATAAGTGGGGATGCGGGGACAAGAAAACTCAACCAAATAGTACCCAAAGGTTTCTCACCTCCTCTGCCTTCTAGTTTCTGAGTTAGTGGTATTAGTTTTTCTAGTCCATCTAGGTGGCTCAGTGGATAGAGTTCTGGGGCTGGAGTCAGGATGACTCATCTTTCTGAGTTCAAATTTGGCCTCAGACGCTTACTAGCTATGTGACCCTAGGTAAATCACTTAACCTATTTGCCTCAGTTTTCTCATCTGTAAAATTATCTGGGGAAGGAAATGGCAAACCATTCCAATATCTTTGCAAAGAAGAACCCAAATGGGGTCATGAAGAATCAGAAATGAATGAAAAATAACTGTCCCCTCCTCTCCTTTTTCTGAGTAACACCCTTCACACTCAATTGATGGTATTAGCAATGAGATACAAGTGAAGATGCATGTTTGTGGCATCTTCTTTTAATTTTTCTAAAGGTGATACTACTTTCTTAAAATCTTACTTTGGACAAAGCATACACTCTTCTGATGCTCCAGTCAATATTACCACACCATCACTAGTCACCTATCCATAATACTTTTTCATGCCAGATTCTTCACAGCCTTTCTCCTTAAGGACTGTACCTCAAGGTTACTCTTCCTTTAAAGAGAATCCAAATTGCTTAATTAGGTGTTATGTATTAAGGTATTACTGTGCACACACTTAAATCACTTGCAGGTCCTGAGAAACTCTTAAAATTGTATAATATGACAACAAAAAGTTTGTTGCTGTATGAAACTCTGAGAGAGCTAAGATAAGTATGAAGGATTTTTTATGATTTTGATTTACTGTCCTTTCAATTATATTATACAAAATTCAGCAGAATTTTCTACCATCATTAGGGGAATCAATGGTTTTCTTGCAGTAAATCACAAATATCACGAACAACATGAGGCCTGTAATTGACAGGTAACTGCTGATAAATAGTGTTCATTATTTTTCTAGTAGGGCAAACTGTAAAGTCAGTGCCCATCATATTTACTTGGAAAATATGTTGTAACATTTCAAAATGCACCTAGTGTCCAAATGTTAGAACTAAAATTATGGGGTCTTTCTATTTCTAAAGGGTTGAAGTGCATAGGTGTGGGTTTATGGCCTTCAGGAACACTACCTTGAGGTCTCATTCCTCTAAATTTGGTAAATAAGGTGCTTCAGGAGGCAGAGTGAGCTTAACAACTTTCTATTTGCTGTCACAGAAGAAACACACTCATACTGATGACGAGACATTGCTCTGATACTGATGACTAGAATGGAGTGACTAAATGCCAGTGCTAACCTTGTTTACTAAAACAAATTGGTTCCCTAAATATGACAGCAAGCTGTAGAAAAGAAATACGTCAGACCACTTAAAAAATATTACAACTATGGCAGAACTGAAACTGGAAAACAGTGTTCACAATGTTCTGATTCAGGGAAACTAGAGGATGATTCAGAGATATTACGATCAACTCTGTTACTGGTCCAAAAAAAAAATCACTTAAGGAGCATATACGTCATTCTTGGCAGGCAAAGAAAAATATCTAACAAAAAATCCATCTACTCATATTTTATTATTTAATGCTTTTTTCTTTCTTTCATTTTTGGGTTAAAAATTGGGACTGCAAAAACCAAAATTCTTTATATATAGTAGTTTTAGGTGGTGGCAAGATTTCATCTCTTGGGAACAAATATGTGCTTGAATGACCTGCCTTTTCCCAACATGTACTGTTGAATCCTGTAAATGGTATTCTTCACAAATCCTTCTCTCTGTCTTTCTGGGTCATTTTTGCTCTTGCATTTTTCTCTTCAGCCATTCCAACTCTTACTTTTTCTTCACCTATCCACTCCTAAGAAATGTACATTTGCTTAAAAAGTATTCAGGGGTCATAAAGAAGTTACTATCTTTAACATGAAATTGTTGTTCAATGTATCACCTTTATTTGGTAGATTTAGTTATTTTCTACTCTTGGGGTTGGAGACTCAGTACTAGGAAAAACATCTGCGGCTGACCTGGAAAGAATGAAGAGGATTCAATATTTTTCCCTCATTCCCTTTCCCAAGACCTTTCCCCACCCCCCACCTTAAATTAATGTCCCTAATTTATATTTTTCCCTCACCCTGAGTGAGAAAATTTACTGGTATTGATTTACAAAACTGTAAGATCAGATTTCTTTAAGTTAAATGATAATCTATATAGCAGTAAATTACTAAGAAACAACTTTTGCACCGATATCCTGAATTTTATTCATGTAGAGTTAAGTGGGGAAAGGAACTAGCATTAACTAAGTACTCACTGTATGCCAGGCACTATGCTAAAGGTTTTATAGATATCTCATTTGATCCTCCCAACAACTCTGTGAGGTAGGTACTATTACAACTCCTATTTCACAGTTGAGGAAATTAAGGCAGAAGTTAAATGATTTGCCCAAGGTCATACGGCTAGTAAATGTCTGGGCTAGATTTGAACTCAGGTCTTCCTGATTCCAGGCCCAGTGTTTATCCTTAAATCACCTAGCTAACCATGAGAATAGGCTCAGAAAGAAAGATAGAAAGATGAATGTATATGCATGGGTATATATGTGTCTATGTATATGTGTGTATATGTATATATGTATGTATGTACATACATACATACATACATACATATATATTTTTCCATGACATGGACACCTTCCCTCAATCCCCTCTCTTCTCAATACATTCAACTTTGATTAAGTGCCTACTATGTGTAGAATACTTCTAGAGGAGATAGTTTAGCCAGGATACAACCCCTGTTCTCATAAAGTTTCATGATGTTCCTTTGTTGTTTTATACCCACATTCAATAAATGTAGTTGATATGGTTCACTATTAACACTGGATTGGGATGAGTCTATGATGGTGAGACCTGGTCTGGACTTCAAAGACAATCTCTGCTCTTCTGATAGGGCAGGCCATATTTACTCTGTCTGGGAAGTCACAGATCTATCCCTGCCTGCTGAATATTGCACTTTAAAGCCCTCTATAAATGTTAGCTATTACTATTTTTTTTCTTTTTCTTCCCAGGAGGTATCGAGGCCAAGTGTGACTGCCAGGAAGGAGCTGGGAGCAGCCAAAGAGACTGAGCATGTCAGACTTCTCTCCCAGCCTGCCACACACACTTAAAACCCAAAGGAAATAAGCAGGGATCAGTGGGAGGAAGGGAGCCAACCAGGTGAGCAACCACATCTGTCTGAAGTCTAAAGGCAACAGGAAAGGATCCCTGGCATTTAGATTTGTTTGGCAAGATTGAGACATGACCTGAGCTTACACTAAATTACCTCACAATGAATTATTTTTACCTTGCACTTTAAATGTCAGGATGACTCCACTGAGCTTTTTGGCTAGGGAAAGAGAGAACACATCAAAGGCTGGTAATTAGTCTGCAGGTGTGGCTGATGGGATTGCCAGTCATTTGTCTCCTTTTAGCAAAGGGTTAATTCCTGGCTTTTTCTCAAACTGGCTTCTGTTGATTTGGGGAAAGAACAAGAGATTTTCCATTGAGTTATATGTTTCCATTGTTTTTGTGTGTGTTTGTGCACGTGTGTGTGTGTGTGTTTCCTTAGGTGCAACCAGAGCTAGTATTTCACTGATTTATTCACTGGAAAGGGTGGAGGAAGTCTCACTATACCAGTCATTGGGGTTCATTCCATGGCGCCACTGTGCAAATGAACTCCTTCATAATGTGTACTTTTGCAACTTAAGTAAGTAAATTCTCTTGGATAGGCTCCATGGCTCGCTTGACTTAGAATTAATTCTGATCGGTAGTCAAGTAGTACTAAAGCAAGGTTCTAGTGTGATGTATGATTTAGCCTTTGCTCCCCTCCTTAGCCAGATTTTTCAGTTAAATCTTATCACTAAGTGGAGCAGGAATAATTACTGTAATTGCAACATGAAAGGGTTTTCAAGTCTGAATGGCATTTTAGAAATCTTGGCTTGGCTACTATTCCATAAGCAACATAGATTATATAAGAGATGCTATTTATTCAAAATAGCATTAAATGTAGTCAGGGATATCTTTAAAGACTACTTTCTGAATGAAATGGGGTGAAAGGAAAAGCATTAGTTAAGTGTAGAATGCAAATCAATTGTTTTGGCTTTCTAGTACTTTTCCTAGTGTGTTTAGAAGCTTTTCTTGTGTCTTTAGAAGCAATCTGAACTCCAAGATGTCTCAGAGGTATTTTGCTGCCTGACAATAAGCTTTTTAAAATTTGGAAGTTTCTAATTTTGGAGCAGTTCCTGTTAAAAATTAAAGTAGATTTGGTAAAATTACAGGGGTATACATTCTTGAATTATCATGGTGCCTATGTCTTGAAGACTTATGTCTCCCTATCACCCCAAATGCTTAATTTTTCTTGTTCCAAGAAACACAGGTGATAGAGATTAAAAAAGGGCCTAGTGATAAGTATCTGGCTCTAATTTGCTAGTAGATGTTTGCCAGTCTTTTGGGGAGAGACGATGAGGAAAAATGACAAAATGCAAAACTGATACTGTCAGGTTGGCTTGAAAAAATTCCTATGTGTATCAAAAGAGTGGAAGAAAATACCAAAGGTAAGCTAATGTAGGTGTGAATCAGAATGAAGCAAAAGCACTATTCTCTTGAACCATGTTACCAAAGAGCCTTGTGCATGGGAGGTCAGATATGATCCTAGATGTAGAAGTGAATTTCCAGAAGTATTAAAATAAAATTTCCCAAGCCCTTGCATGGGATTATGCTTTATTTTTAACATTTTAATAGTACTCATTATTTATTGCAAAGTTTGTTTCCTTCTCTCTGTTGGAATTTTAAAGATAATAGACATGTTGATTCTTGCCAACCCCTGTATCACTGTGGCAGTACTTGTTATCTTGGTTACCACTTTTACTTCTCCTATTCCTTTCTTTCCTTCTATCCCTCTTGTGTGCACATGTAGGTTTACTCCTCCCCAATTTTTCCTTTTTCTCCTAACTCTCCTTCCCCCCTCTTTCCCTTCCTCCATCTCTTTCTTTTTATACCATCTCATCCCTTATTTTCTTCCTCTCTTGCTGGCTAGAGAACATATCAGGTGGCTGAGTTGGCACAATTTTGCCTTTTTGAGCAATGTTACTCAGAGACTTCTATTTATTATGCTCACTCTTTTTAGTACCATTCCTCTCAGAGGGACAGGGAATGATCTTAGCAGCAAAGGAAGGTGAATTTGTAGCCATGTTATTGTTATAACATAGCCAACTGTATTGAACAGATTGGGCTGAGATTGGAACAGCTGGGCCTGGCACAGTGAATCTTGACTCTTCTCAGAAGAGTTCTGGCACTGCCAAATCATTACACTTGAAGGGGAAAGACAAGCTAGGAAGGTTAAGTGGATAGTGGCTCCTGTAGGCATTTGGTTTCTGTGATTTACCTTTGCAAAATTGTCAAGAGTTTGTATACCTGACAATTGCGAGCTTGTTTTACTCAAGACCTTTCTCTGTGTCTCTCTTTCTCTCTCACTGCCTCTGTTTCTCTGTCCATCTCTTTCTCCCCCTCTGTTTCTCACTTTCAATGCCTGTCTCTCACTCACTCACTTTCCGTCTTTCTCCATGTCTGTTTTGCACTCTCTGTCTCTTTATTTGTGTCTGTCTCTGTGTCTACCTCACTCATTCTGTCTCTCGCTCACATTTTTCCTATTACAGATAGTATCGTTTTTCATCTGCTGTGTTAGATATTGTTCAGTTGCAGGGTTTGAAAGTGCAGAATGAGATGATTTTTAGTGTCATCACATGTGGTTGTTAAACTGACATCATCTTCTGATACCTCATCTCAGCATGGACGTGAGCCTGGGTTCACGAGGGCTATGCCAGTGGAGCTCGAGTTCTGACAGGCCCTCACAATTTGGAGGGCCTTTGACTGCAGGCCTACTGACAGGCTTCATTCAGAATGCTTTTTTACTAGGGAGGCCACCAGGTGAAGAGTTCTTCAGCCAAAGGTACTCAAAGCAATCTACTGAGATGTAGAAGGTAATAGGTAACAGGGCAGGGCATGCCTGCACTAAGAAAGTCACAGATTTTCAAAACATTGAAATGCTTTTTTGAAAAGACCAAAATTATTTATTTCTCTGAGTTTTTTTTTTTGAAATGTGGGTGACACTAATCAGAGTTTTAGAAAGGTGCTAGAATTTTAGGGCTACAGGAAGGCTTTGATATACATACCATTAATATGAACACATGTCATCTTTGAATTTCCATCATAGATTGAGAGCTGGGAGGACCTGTGAGGCCATTGAGTACAAGCCCCTCATTTTACACATGAGGAAACTGAAACTCAGAGGGGTTAATTGCAAGGCTGAAGGAGTTTAACCCAAGTCCTTTGACTCCAAAATCAATGTTCTTTGACCTTTTCACACAATTAGGTTGTGACGATAACTTGTATTCAAATAGCAGTTTAAAAGCTGTGAAGCACTTTTTTTTGAAACAATCCCATGAGGTTGATAGTGGGCATATCCCTGTTCTTTGCCCTTTTCAGATGATTCATAGGGAATTACAAGAGAGAAATAAGAAAATTGCTGTGTGAGGTCTGAATGGGGCAAGTTCATTACCAAGCACAAAAGGTTTCATGACAAAGGTGAAATCTGAGTTGGGCATCGAAGGATGTGTAAGAATTCAACAAGAATGATGAAGAAGGCATTCCAAGCATAGGGAGAAAAGTATGGGAGTAGGGGTGGCAAGTAGTTCTAATTGGTTGGAACATTGAGCACAAGGAGGGGAATATTATGAGAAGAGTTTAGAAAGGTAGGGCAGAACCAGATTTTGTAGGGTCTTGAATGGCAAACTCATGAGTTTTGACTTTACTCAGCTGTCAATAAGGGAGCCTTTGAAAGTTTTTATGCAAAAGAGATGAATGACCAAATTTAAAAATAAGAAACATGATCTTAGGAGGTTTGTAAAGAAAAATTTGGGGAGTAGAACATAAGAAGCTATGATTCATGCCCCAGTAGGATATATTCCAAATCAAAATGAGAGTAAACCTGTGAAGTAGAATAAATTAGAATACTTTGTAAAAAGAAATGGTACAGAAATGGAAAACACCAATCTAAGTAGTCTTTTTATTTTTTCCCTTAAGTGATGTTAAATTTAGTTTTCATTGAGCTTGCAATTCTGTCTTGAGCATGACAGCGTATCAATAACTTGTACATGCAGATTTAGTAAAATTTCAAAGGACATTATTTTCATATTAACTTACTCAAGTGGCATCTTTCCATCACCTCATGGCCAACCTCTGACTTTTTTCCAAAGACTGCCAGCTTCCATTTGACTGGCTTTCCAGATCAGGTTGCTTCTTAGATTTACAGATGGAATATGAAATATAGCTCTTTCCATATATTTTCCTTTACTCTACTTGTGGTTAAGCATAAAATTTGTTTGCTTTAGGAATGGAAGTTAACTAAATCCTATAACCTTGTTGTGTTGTGTCAAAGGATAACCATTTTTTAAAAAAGTGGGGTTGAATGTCATGTACAATGTAGCTCAATTTTCTTAGGATAATTTTAATTTGTTAACTAGGAAGCTGTTACTGAGAAACTGTTTTATTTGTGTCCTCCTTAAATTCTTCCTCTTGGAAGGGAGAAAAGATCGATCAAAAATGTTATGAGTTGAAGACATTTGGGAGGATGAGGGAATAAGGGAGGAGATATAAAAGATAAGAAGTAGTTTTAAATATTGATTATAGAGAAGAAAATCAAACCAGATGTTTGTATGTGACCAATTATGTGTTTAAACATTATAATCTTGTCTTGTGTTAAATCCATCTTGGATGAATGAATGTCACCATTAGAGAGGAAGACTCTTGAATAGAGGAAATGAAATATAAACTAGAGATATTTTTAGAAACTGAGTTTCTTTTGCTTCATGTTTTGAAACATAAGTCCTTGGCCAACACTGGCCTTACCTATACAAAGGAGTGGTACGATTTAAAGGGTGCCAGGAGGGGATCCATTTTACTAAAAAGTCTCCCTCCACTATTCTGTGATTTAACTATTAAGGAATTACTACTTTGAATTACATGCTTTGCCTTCAGAAATAAAACATTAAGTACAAATATTCCTGGGAGAAAGAACACATTTATGAGCCAGGATAAAATACTTCATGATACTGCTTTTATTCTAGAACAAAGGATTGGAAAAACGATGAAAAAGTTGTATTTAAATGGGAGCTTCATGG